AACATCCATCTGGTTCCCCACAGTCACGACGATTTGGGATGGCTAAAGACCTTCGAGCAGTACTACTATGGCTGTAAGTGTCCAGGCTCGAAAGTCCCAAACGCATCACTGGAGCACTAAATGCACCTCTTTGCAGCTCACGACAACGTGCAGCGAGCCGGCGTCCAATACATCATCAGCAGTGTGGTCGATGCGTTGAAGAGCAACAAGGACAGAAGGTTCCCAACAGTAAGTTCCCAACAAGGAGCAATTCTCACGCCAGCCGAATCCCCAGGTTCATCTACGTGGAAACTGGATACTTCTGGAAATGGTGGACCAACCAAGAAGAAGACGTGAGAAGCGATGTTCGCCAGCTCGTAAACAATGGCCAGTTGGAGTTCATCAGCGGCGGCTGGTCGATGAACGACGAAGCCACCACTTACTATCAAGACACCATCGACCAGATGACTTGGGGCTTGAGGTGGGTGGAGAGTTTTCCCCCCAGTTTTTAACCCAACCAAGCGAATTGGCATTCCAGACGACTGAATGACACATTTGGAGAGTGCGGCCGCCCACGGGTTGCGTGGCAAATCGACCCGTTCGGGCACAGCAGGGAGATGGCGTCGATTTTTGCGCAAATCGGCTTCGACGGCTTCTTCTTGAACAGAATCGACTCTCAAGACCTGCAGATCCGAAGGACCAACAAGCAGATGGAGTTCGTCTGGCGAGGCAGCCCGGATAATCTCGGTCTGTCTGCTACACTTTCCGCTTGGGAGTGACTCACAAGTGAAATCCCCGCAGGAGAATCCACCGATATTTACAGCAACGTTCTGTTCCGGCACTACAGCGCCCCTTCGGGGCTTTGCTTCGATGTGAACTGCGCGGACGAGCCAATAATTGACGATCCAGAGAGCCCCGAGTACAACGTGGAGAACAAAGTGAGGAACTTCATTAGCGACTGGATAACTCCGGCCAGGAGCGGCTACGCCTCCGACAACATTCTAGTGCCGATGGGGGACGACTTCCAATATCAGGCTGCCGGCAAAAACTTCGCCAATATCGACAAACTCATCAGGTAACTTCACAGTCCCCAGTTTTCCCCCCGCTAACTCCCTCTGCCCTTTGCAAGGTACATGAGCGGAAAGGAAATCGAGGGCGTCAAGTACAACGTGATCTACTCCACGCCCTCCTGCTACCTAAATGCTGTCTACGAAGCAACCAATGGGGTTTTGGACGTTCCCTTGAAGACTGACGACTTCTTCCCATACGGATCATCAGACCACACCTACTGGTCGGGCTATTTTACATCGAGGCCAACCGGCAAAGGCTACAACAGGTTCAGCAACAATTTCCTGCAGGTGAGTATTTTGCTAAGCCTGCTGACAAAAGAGCAAGCTGAAACAATGCCAGGTCTGCAAACAACTGAGCGTCCTGACGGACGCCACCTCTGATGAGGACACTGCCAAGCTGAACACTTTACGGGAAGCTCTGGGAGTGTTCCAGCATCACGATGGCATCACAGGCACTGAAAAGGAAAACGTCGCTCACGACTATATTCATCTGCTCCACAAGGGCATCACCGAATGCGAGGACATCACCAGTCAAGCGCTAGCGTAAGCTCAAATAGACTCATCTCTTGTCTTGTCTGAAGACCAACTTTGTACGACAAAGTTGAATTTCACAAAAAAACTTCAGTCAGAAAACTTCCTAAATTCGAACAAAAACGACGATTTTGAGCTGAAAAGATCCTTATCGCGTTTAGTTAGCGAGAAAGACACGTTTGTGATGTTTAGACCAACTTTGTACGACAAAGTTAAATTTCAGAAAAAACCTTCAGTCAGGAAACTTCCTAAATTCTAACAAAAACAACGATTTTTAGCTGAAAAGATACTTAGCGGATTTAGTTAGCGAGAAAGACACGTTTGTGATGTTTAGACCAACTTTGTACTACAAAGTTAAATTTCAGAAAAAACCTTCAGTCAGGAAACTTCCTAAATTCTAACAAAAACAACGATTTTTAGCTGAAAAGATACTTAGCGGGTTTAGTTAGCGAGAAAGACACGTTTGTGATGTTTAGACCAACTTTGTACGACAAAGTTAAATTTCCGAAGAGAAACCAGCTGAAAAACAAATTTGCCCAAAACTTCCTAAATTTCAACAAAAACGACGATTTTGCGGTGAAAAGATCCTTAGCGCGCTTAGTTAGTGATAAAGACACGTTTGTAATGTTTAGACCAACTTTGTACGACAAAGTTAAATTTCCGAAGAGAAACCAGCTGAAAAACAAATTTGCGCAAAACTTCCTAAATTTCAACAAAAACGACGATTTTGAGCTGAAAAGATACTAAGCGCGTTTAGTTAGCGAGGAAAACCCCTTTGTGATGTTTAGACCAACTTTGTACGACAAAGTTAAATTTCCGAAGAGAAACCAGCTGAAAAACAAATTTGCACAAAACTTCCTAAATTTCAACAGAAACGAGGATTTTGAGCTGAAAAGATACTCAGCGCGCTTAGTTAGCGAGAAAAAAACAAGTTTGTGATGTTTAGACCAACTTTGTACGACAAAGTTAAATTTCCGAAGAGAAACCAGCTGAAAAATAAATTTGCACAAAACTTCCTAAATTCCA